TTTCAGCCTAATGATGGCTTGCTTCACTGATAGTGACAGCTCTTTGGATCTCATCTTGAGAGTTGACAGCAACAGATTACAAATGCAAATAGCACACTTGAAATGAACTCTGGACCTTTTATCTGCTCATTGTAATTGGGATAATGAGGGAATAACACACACCTGGCCATGGAACAGCTGAGAAGCCAATTGTCCCATTACTTTTGGTCCCTTAACAAGTGGGAGGCACATATGCAAACTGTTGTAATTCCTACACCGTTCACCTGATTTGGATGTAAATACCCTCAAATTAAAGTTGACAGTCTGCAGTTAAAGCACATCTTGTTTGTTTCATTTTAAATCCATTGTGGTGGTGTATAGAGCCACAAATGTTAGAATTGTGTCGATGTCCCAATATTTATGGACCTGACTGTGTTTCATTTCTAGCCTATTTTATAGTGTTTTAAGTCACAGGAAAAATGAGGAATCCCCTGTGGTCTGTCAGCTCCCCCAATAAGATGATACCAGATTCAGGTCTGAATCCCTGCACCCTGTATTATTCAGCTTTCAATTTCCTCTCCACACCCAGAATTTTAAATTGTTTAAACCAAATGTATCTCTTCCCAGAGCACAAGTGATTGATCACAGGATTAGTACACAGGAGACATGAAGCCTAATAAAATGCCCTCATCACTTAAGCATTTTTATTTTTAAATACCTCTTGGTATTAATATTATTATACAGGATTTATATAGCACCAACAGTTTACGCAGTGCTTTACAGCATAAGGGCAGACAGTACAATTAAAATACAAATTAATACAGGAGGAATCAGAGGGCCCTGCTCATTATAGCTTACGATCTAAGAGGGAGGGTCAACTGATACAAAAAGGTAATAACTGTGGGGGATGGGCTGAGAAAATACATGTACAGTTGCTAAGTGGGGGCAGGATAGGCCTCTCTAAAGATATAGGTTTTTAGGGATTGTCTATTTTGACAGAGTAGGAGATAGTTGGATACATTGGGGAAGGAAGTTCCAGAGGATGGAAGGGCTCTGGATAAGTCCTGGAGGCAAGCATGGGAGAAGGTGACAAGGGAGCTAGAGAGCGGGTGGTACTTGCTTTGTTAGTAACCCTAACTATGAAACACTGAGAGTTCTTACAAATCAACAATGACCCAGATGTTTTTACCTTTGTACAAAGAGTTATTTCAAAGTAAAGTTGCACTCTAGACAAAGGGCCAAACAGTTAAAATACATGAAGGCTCATGGATGGTTGTAAATGCCAAATTATTTGTAATTTTGTTCTGCTAGTCCTGTGATTTACACACCCAATCCCACTGCATTATCAAAAGGGTGACACCATTATTTTGCACTCTAGCTTTCATTTCTGATTTAAGCTTTTTTGCAGTTCCATATTTTTTATATTCAGAAATATACACTAGCAAATAACATATATATTTTTAGGAAACTAAAGAGGAATATTATGTTCCAACACCAGTCTTTTACACATGTGGACACTGAAAACCAAAAGATAATTGGCAAGCATACACTTGGCACATGATCTATCCCTGGCTATTCACAACGGGCCCAAGGTAAGGCATTCAAATGTACACATAATAAATTATGACATGGACCAAAAAAAAAAAAATGTACAGAAAGTTTATGTTTGCTAAACACACCTCAAAATATGTTTTTATATGACAGGGAAGGTTTAAGACAGAAAAGGGCTCTGGGCAGACACAAAGAGGTTGATTTACTAAAGGCAAATAGACTGTGAACTTGCAAAAATGCTGTTATTTTAATTTTCCTCGCATGTGATTGGGTATTCTTTGCAAAGTGAAGTTTTACCTCATTTATTAAGCTCTGGAGCACCTGCACTTGCAAAGTGCACAGTATATTTGCCTTTAGTAAATCAACACCAAAGTGAGCCCACTATAAAGGAATACTGTAATAGCAGTACAATATCAGGGAATGCTTGGTGCCTGTAGAATTGCTCATGCATATCTAACCACAATCAGACCTAGAAGGCCACTCTTAAAGTGTTACTAAAACAAGAAACCTGTATTCACTATATCTGGTCTCCTACAAAAACACACAACATGGAAATGCAATTATTTTAGTAAATATAAACTACTAAATACCTTTTCTCATCAGCAGTAAACAGCAGTCTTGTGACTTCTAGACTGACTATCCAGCTGAGAAGTGGTTAAAACTTGGAGGATATTTCATTCTGCTCTGACTGTCCTATGAGGCTACATGACCCTTGATCCTCTGTCTGGACAACGCTGCTTGGCCCTGTGCTGATCACATGCACCCTCCCAAAGAAAAAACTCTAGCAATACACACTAAATTAAGCATGTGCAGAGTGACTCCTAGAAGGGGAGGATCAGAGAAGACAGGATCAAACAGCCATTTTACACAATGCGGAGGATTAACCCCTTAGGTTCCACAGTGAGCATAACAAGCATGCTTTACTGCATTTATAGACTGATTACAGTCTGAAGAGTCTAGAGCACACAGTTCAACAACAGCTGCAGAACACATTTTTTTTAGCTCCACAATACTGAACCAACAAATTTGGGTCAATGGAGGAGAAGTAGAAGGAAAGGCGCAGATGGTGCAAGAACCAGCTATCTGCTAGGGAAGAAAAGCAACTGAAAAATATTCACACTAGCCAAATGAACTAGTCTGCCTACAAATTGATGCCCAGAAGGGTCTGAGATATTGTCAGACTTGAGCTTGTCACCTGAACTTGCCATATTTGACTTTATAAAGTGTATAAAGTGACCAATTTATGTCTATAGGTACCCTTATCTATTCTCTCCACAGTGGAAGTATTTTAGTGCACTCGTCTGATTACATTAAAGCGGTAAAACCAAAACTAAAATTGTAATAGATTGCAATCATTGGATGTAATGAATGCATTACTTTTCTTTTCTTAGGCAATTTTCCCTCTGTTTTTACATGGTGATCTGACCAGTAATACACTTTCTGTATTAGAATGCCTCCACTACAACACTGCAGTTACACAAGCAGTTACAGCAAACCAATTTATTTTATTTTGGAATAAAAGTTTTACATAAATAAAAGCTGATCATTGTAAGAACCAGTCAGCGGTGAATAATTTATCTCATCCCCCTAACCACTACATTTGCAAGAGAGCTTGTTCTTTTAAAAAAACAACAGACTTACTGGCTGGATCACCAAATGAAAATAAAAGAAGGAAAGACTAAAAAAGAACACTAATGAAGCCATCTTATCTAAGATTTGGTAAACTGCAATATAATAAATATTTGCTTTTAGGTTTAATACTGCATTAATATCACTCATAGCATAGAAAAAAAAAACAAAAAAAGCACTACAAAAAATGTCATGGTATACCCAAGACGTTTAGGGATTTTTAAAATTCTGAAATCAACATCATACCAAAATTACAAATTTGACAATCAAATGTATGATTTTGGGTGATTTTGACAATTTATGTTCTCATTTAGTCAATAAGAATCTGCTAACTTTTTTGCACGAAAAAAAAAAGCTATCAAGAATCCACAGAGTACCTCACTGAGGCACTAGTAGTTTCATTTCCAGAACCTGTATCATCATTCTGTTTTCTGCACTATCAACTGCATTTGAATTTCCAAGGCACGACTGAATCTGACAGGTAGCTGTGAGCATCTTTCTTTAGTACTAACAGTACTGTGGTGGACTGATGCATTTCAGCAAAGTCAGAATGAAGAAATTAAGGAGAACCTGTCACCAATCTAAAAAAAATGCAGGCAAAAACATAGGAAAATACTTACATTCAGTGTTTTCCTTTCCATAAACCATGTGTGTACATTTGCAATGTGCATTTAAACTTGCTAAAAAATCTGACTTGTTTAGGAAGAGTCAATTCCCTAGCACAGACCCCTTCCTCTTCGCATGTCATAGCCCTCTCCCCTTTTGGAGATGGCTAATTACTATCTGTGCTGTGGAAAATGCTCTCAGACAAGCACCTTAGTGGAGGTGCATCTTTATTGGGTGAGATAAAGTAGCAAGTATAATAAAATTAACCAGCCTGAAGTGGACAGTGTGATTCCAATGGACGGCCCGTCCGCTCTGAGGGGAGCTGAGATCAAAGAATGCTCCTGTCGGCTTCAAATCACGTGGTGTCAGCGTACCAGCGTGAGCCCAGCGTGAGCCTTCCGCTCTGATTGACACCCCATCCCCTGCTAATTACACTCAGCCAGCCTTCCCTTTAATGGTCTTCTATATAATGGCCGCCGGCCATGGTTACCAGAGACTTGACAAAGCGCAACTGCGCGAAACATGTCGTCTTGGTAACCCCACATATGCTCCCAGCTGAAGCCAACGCCGGACACTGCCTTCGTTTGCCATGGTGACACCACCCAGGACGCTGGTACGCTGACACCACGTGATTTGAAGCCGACAGGAGCATTCTTTGATCTCAGCTCCCCTCAGAGCGGACGGGCCGTCCATTGGAATCACACTGTCCACTTCAGGCTGGTTAATTTTATTATACTTGCTACTTTATCTCACCCAATAAAGATGCACCTCCACTAAGGTGCTTGTCTGAGAGCATTTTCCACAGCGCCTTTTTTTCCAGTTCTCTTCATCATGCATATGATTAACAAGGCAGCAGTGGTGAGCTCATGATTAACTGTTCACATGTTTCCACCTGGAGTGGCCTCTCTGCGCTCATTTGTATGAGTTTTCTAATTACTATCTGTGCAGACTTAGCTACTTTGCACTTCCCCTTACTACATAACCGTTTATGTAGCTGTCAGTGAAGGGTAATATTTTAAAATGCTACTTGAGTAACAGATCTGAGTCTGCTAACTTTACATCTAAAGTGGTTGTGCCTGACATATATCTTGGGGCTTTTGGATGTCAACACAAGGAGTATCTATTGGTATATAACATGCACAAACTGTTAAATGCACATACAATATAATCCCATATGCTGTCAGGTTTAAATTTGACTGCAATGCACCTTTAAGAATAAAATAATCTAGAATTTCTTATATTATATAAACAGAACATTTAACAAACACCAACAATATACTTTGACTGTGAATACATTTATTTTTCTCCCCACTCACCTCTCCGGCTACAAAAAACAGTAGTGGTGCTTCCTCATCTTTGGCTTTATACTGTGCTATAATTTTCTCGGCTATGGGTCGAACAAGTTCTTTAGCTGCTTCTGACTCACCTTCATCCTCAGAGTCTAAAAGAATGACAAGGCAGTCAAAAGATCTGTGCAAGTAACTTTTTATAAAGCAGAACTCCAGGCAGACATACAAAAATGAATCTAGCAATGCATATATATAATTTTAAATATACTGTAGTTTTTACAAATGTTTATTTGTGAACTGAATTTATATTTGATAATGAAATGGGCATTAAAATGCAATGAGTAACCACGTGTTGCATATTTTTCAGATATTCAATGTAAAACTCAAAATCAGAAAATGCAAGAATCCAAGCAATAATTAAGTTGCATAATGGTCCATTCACATCTGTGTGTTCACATTACAGCTTGTGTATTAATGCACAAGCATAAGTGTTAATGAACCCTTATATATCCCTTTGAATACACTATGAACAAAGTTTGTAAAAATGTGCATTATGGTATTACATTGTAGTGATTTTGACAAAGAGACAAACTGGAAAACTGACCTCATATGAAAATGGAAACTTTAGTATAACATTCAATAGTACTTTCTAGTGCTAGATCTCACAATCAGCAGGGAAACAGGAAACAAGTGAAACATTTCCCTTCCCAGGCTAAACACCCGCTGCTTCCCATGAATTAATAACCTGCCCATAACAAAGGCAGCACATTATAACACCCCCTTGCCCTGTTACTCTAGAAACTAGTGTCATTATGGATAACAAACAACAGAGGAGGAAGCCGCCTTTACAAAGCGCTCTGCTGGGACACTGGCAGTGTGAGATGTTTACTATGGTTTAACCTCCAAAATCAGATTAATGTCATACAGAATCTTTGACAGTAAGCTTTGTTCAGGGACAGTTTCAGAGTTTGAGGATGCCTGCAGCATACCAAAAGCAATTTTGCAATACAGCTGTCTACGTGTCATTGACATGCTCTGTCACTGAGACCTACTGAGCTCTGTATTCACTTCCAATCTGAAAGCTCCATGCACTAGTGATGCACTGCTTGTCAGTTCACATAAACGTTCATGAAATGGGATATCAATTGGAATGTAAGTTCATGGTTGTCTCTGTTCAATCCCTACTCGTAATTAAACAAGTAAAAGCAAATCAGGAAGTCTTGTGCCAAAAGATGCTGTTTTCTTTACAATAACATTACAGTCCTTAACATTATTATGCGTATCAGTTTTTTTTAAGCAAGCAATAAGGAGTAATCAAGACACAAAGGGGATGGGTCTGTGTCCTGTACTCCAATATAAGGAATTAACAGGCAATTCAAATTTCCTCTTATCCTAATTGCAGGATATTTTATCTATACTGCAGGACTTGTGTTCATAGACATCCATGGAACATGCTTAACATAACAACAGAACTGCCAACAGGCCCACAAGGGAAAAAAAAGGGTTAAGAACCCTAACAAATTCAAGCACCTTGAAACTAAAGCTCGCATCGGCCAAGGCCTGAACATCCACCTTGTAGAACTTTGAGAGCATGTGAACAAAGGACCAAGTGGCGCCTTTTCAAATCTGGGAAGCGATCATGATGCTGAAAAGTGCAAAGATACACCAACAGCCCTGGTGGAATTGACTCCAATAGGAAAGGAGGAACTCTATCCCTAAAGGTGTAGGCACTGGAGAAAGTTGCCTGATCCACCTGAAAATGGCGGAGCTAAAAGCAATATGCCTTCCAGGTATGCACATAGGTAGGATAAAAAGGTACTTTAAGGTAGACTCTGATATCCCTGACCGCATCCAGGTAATGTAGAAAAATTTCCTTGTCATGTTTTTAGGGCAGGTCAGAGGGAAGAAAGAACAGTGTCTTCACAGAGGTGAAAAGAGGAGACCACCCTGGGTAGGAAGGATGGTTTTGGTGTCAAAAACACTTTCTCCTTGTACAAAACAAGAGAGTTCTTTACAATAAAAAGCTGAAAACATGCCTAACTTATGTAATGACTACCAAATAGGAAACCTTACAAGTGAGATCTTCCAATGGAATACCTAATTGTTTCAAAGGGAGGTCTTTGAAATATAGAGAGCACCAAGCTGAGATCCCAAGGTTAAACAGGAGGTCAAAGTGAGGGACTATATGCACAACTCCCTGAAAAAAGAACTTTATAAGGGATGAGACAAGAGGCTTTTTGAATAAGATGGATAAAACAGAAACCTTGAGGGTACTAAGGGCCAGAATAAAGAAAGGCCACATTTCCTGGGGCTTGACTTCCTGTCCTCACATCGGGCAAAGTAAGCCTTCCATGTGTGATGGTAAATTTTGGAAGAATTGGATTTTCTTGCTGTGAGTAAGGTGGAAAAAGCAGAGTCAGAAATAGCCCTATCGTTTAGGACTTTGACTTCAACAATCATGCTTTTAAAGCCAGTGACTGAGAAGCAAGAAAGATTAGATGGCTTTGGACTAGTAAGTTTGGTTTGTTTGGACGAGGTTAAGGCTTGTCTGCCAGAAGTCTGAGTATGTCTGTGAACCATATTTTTCTGGGCCAATTTGGTGCAATGAGAATCAATGGAACCTTTTCCTTTTCTATCTCAGCAGTCAACGGGGGACATATACTTAACTTGAACTGGTCCAAGGAATCACCAGAGTATCCAATGCCAGAAGATCCCTGGACTTGGCCACAAATTTGCTCAGCCTGTGGCCTTGAACCTGGAGGCCAAAATGTCCACATCTTGTTTTCCATAATTTTGACAAGAGATTTTAATATAGCTCTGGGTGCAGAGACCAATCCCTCAGGTCTAGTCCTTGATGGCTTAGGAAGTCCACCTGCTAACTGTCTACTCCAGGGAAGTAGATGGCCAAGGGAGCTGGAATGTGAGATACTGTCCAGGAGAGTATTAGACTAACTTATTTTAGGCAACCTGACTTCTGGTGCTCCCTAATGGTTTATGTAAGCCACTGCCGTGGCATTATCCGACTGTGCGCTGACTGAGTGACCTTGTAAAAGACAGGTCCAGAGTTGTAGAGACAATCTGATAGCTCTCAGTTCCAGAATGTTGATGGGAAGTGTGATAGTGCTAGGCCTTGCAACTGGGTAATAGTAGGCAAAATTTACACCAGGTTCTCGCTAATGCAGAGTGAGGGGCTCCAGATTTTCTGTACTGAACTCAGAAAACCGTATTCAGTTTTCTCTGGGTTTTGTAATCCTGAATCAAGGTCCAGAATCTGAAGGCTTCAAAGAGTCTTGGGTGGAACGAAGCTTTAAATCCGGTGTCCAGGTCTTATTGGAGATCTGCATGCTGTGTGAGTATGCAGCTGTGCACACTCTTTATCAGCAAGGATCTGGTGATAGGGCAGGGCTCCATTAGGAGACATGTGTGTTCTCTGCCCAAAAGACAGGCATACTCCCATAAGGAGAGGTGCTCAGGAGACAGCACATTTTGGAGGATGGATTCCTTACCCACAGGACTGAGAGAGTTGGGACAGCTAAGCGAGTCTGAAGGACGGAGAGTGAAGGCAGTCGAGTCCAGGGGACTGAGGGAGTCTAAGTCTTAGAGGAGTGAGCGAGCCCAGGATGCCTGGAGGTTCTCATGTTGAGAGGCCAGGAAGTGGGCCCATGCAGTGAAGGGCTGTAACTAAGGCTAAGTGAGCCAAGAGAACTGGGTAAGACAATCAAAGGGAACAGTAGAAAGAGCAGTGATCCTGCTGAACAGAAAGTGGTTTGGCATTTTCTGTTTGCTTTGCTGGTGAAAATCCCCTGCATGGGCAGCTGTTTTGTGGACTTTACTTTCATTTGTTTAACTGCTTCCTAACCGCCCTATAGCAGACGCACTGCTACAGGGCAGCAGGGATGCACAAAGGTCCCTGCCCACGCCGCTATTGGCTCCTCGGCATGTCAATCACCGGGTCCCGGTTGCCGATTTTCATCCAGGACTCAGTGATCATCAGCAGAGCTGACAGGGGAGAGGTCTGTATGTAAACAACACATATTTCTCTGCTATCAGCACGAACAGGCTGCTTTGTATTGCTCTGCACAGCAGAGCAATACAAAGCAGCTTGTCTCCCTAGAAAATCACACACACCACACTATGTAAAACACAAAAGCGCACGATTAACCCTTTGATTGCCCCAGATGTTAACAACTTTTTGCCCAGTCTCATTAGTATAGTGACAGTGCTTTTTATTAGCACTGATTACTGTATTAGTGCCACTGGGGATGTCAGGGGCAGTTAGTTAGTTCCCATCCAGTGTCAGAATGCCCACCGCAGTCCTGCAGTACCGCAATAAGTCGCTGATCGCGGTCATTACTAGTAAAAAAAAAAATTCCAGTATATATACCACCATTTGTAGATACGATAACTTTCACGTAAACAAATTAATTTACACGTATTGGGATTTTTTTTTTTAGCAAAGACATTTAGCAGAATACATTTTGACCTAAACTTATGAAGAAATTTAATTTTTTTTAATTTGATGTTTTATAGCAAAAAGCCAAAAATATATATTTTTTTTTTTTCAAAATTGTTAGTCTTTTTTTGTTTATAGCACAAAAAATAAAAAGACACACATGTGATCAAATACCACTGAAAGAAAGTTCTATTTGTGGGGAAAAAGGACATAAATTTCATTTATGTACAATGTTGCATGATCTCGCAATTGTCAGTTAAAGTAACACAGCGCCGTATCGCAAAAAATTACCTGGTCAGAAATGGAGGTAAATCCTCCGGACAAGTAGTTAATAAACATGGGCTGGCAAGCCCTGAACCTAGGTTCGAACTGACGTGATATCACTAAAAAACACATCTACCACTGAACTAATAATCCCTCAAGAACTAATAATCCCTCAAGATCACAGATGTTTTGAATTCTGATAATCCCCTGTACAAAGAGCTGTAAACTCCGTCCCAGCCTTTAAAGGTGACATCAAGGGGTTTATTTACTAAAGCTGGAGAGTCCAAAATCAGACTCCCTTCTGCATAGAAACCAATCAGCTTCCAGGTTTCATTGCCAAAGCTTCATTGAACAAGCTGAGGTTAGAAGCTGATTGGTTTCTATGCAGAAGGGAGTCTGATTTTGGACTCTCCAGCTTTAGTAAATAAACCCCCA